ATAGAGCATTTAAAGGGGCGGATCGTATGAGTATAAGCTCCGCCCCTTTTGATCCTCTATAAAATCATTATGAAAAAGGGCGGAGCTTAAAGGTTTTTTTCCCAAAATTCATACTTTTTCAGCACTTCGCTTCTGCATAAGAAGTTTGTTGTCCTTGGTGAATGAGAAGACGGAGAAGGCGCGATGGAGGGTTACTGTAAGATGAGGGACTACTTTTTGGAAAATTCAGCGAAAACTAGGCCATGCTCGAAATGGTCTAGAATCCCAAAAAAGAGAAAACTTCGGCCATTTTTAAAAATAGAAAATTTTCGGCTAAAAATCGGTCGTTTTTGAGCGAACTTTAGCTAATTTTTTGCATGGCCTAGAATCTCAAAAATGGAAAGCCTCGGCCATTTTGAAAAACATAGCTTTTTCGGCTTGGAATCGGTCGTTTCGTTTCAAGCCAATTTTTTCGCATGGCCTAGATTTCCAGAAACCGGGAAACTTCTGCCATTTTGAAAAACCTAGATTTTTCGGCGGATTTTTTGCCGGCAAATACTCAGTTGCTACAGGATCAGTTGCTTCCTGACCAGTTGCTACTTTTGTCTCAGTTGCTATTTTCCCAGTTGCTACGACTCAGTTGCTACTTTTGGCTCAATTGCTCGCATTTTCCGAAATTTCAAAATCTCAGTTGCTACAAAATATCTCAGTTGCTACAATTGACTCAATTGCTACTTTTTTCTCAAATGCTACAAAAAAAGAAAATTTTTGTCCACTGTCGTCTTAATACTACTTTTCTCGGGACCTGCCGAGTCTTTATTTTCAAAATTTCCCCTTATCTGCATCGTGTTTTTAGCATACATGTGGATGGCCGGGCCGGGCCGGCCGGGGAGAAAAAGTGCCTGTGTCTCCACCTTATGTGTGCTATTTAGGCTCTCCGCTTCGATATCGCTACCGTATTCAGACTGCAAAAAATACTCTCTAACCTTTTTTTTCTCAGACAAGCATAATAAGCCAAGGATGAAAATTTTTTCTAAAAACGACCTTAAAACATTTGTATTTATTAAGGAGCAAAGCCATCTTGAAAAATGATGATTTGCTCTAAAATTTCGAAATTTCCGCCCACTTTTCTCCGGAGTTTTTTTTTCCCCGGAGTTTTTTTTTTCCCGGAGTTTCCGGGGTCTCGCCGCAATTCCATTTCAGCCGCAATCGCGCTCTCTCAACATGCGTTAGAGAGCGGAGGGCGCAGCGCATTTCTCATGCAAACTGTTTTCAGGAATGAACCAATGTTCCCATTTTTCTCCGTTTTCCATATTCACCAACATGTAGAAAAATTCGGAGAAATGGAGAAAATTCCGCGAAATTGCGGAGAATGAACCAATCTAGCTGAAATTTCGGAGAAAATCGGAGAAAATTATAGAGAGCATATTCACAAAATTTGGGGTCGCAAAATTAATTTTGAAATTTTGGCTGGGAATTCCA